GTCAATTTCGATTTTCAAGATGGTTAAGGTTAATAATAATCAATTGCGTATGCCGTATAATTAATGTTTTAAATAAATTTGAAAGACGAACGATCATCTTTATTGATTTCAAACAATCTTTATAACAATCTTTATAGTCCAAAAAGAAGTTTCTAACTTTTGCATGTAGCGTTCAAAGGTTTATTCGTTGCTGCCCACCGAAAACTCAATTAATTCTTCTCTTCGTAAACCTTAGTGATGTAATAACTAACCTTTCGTATAACAACGACTCTACCTTAACATTTTTCGTAATATCAATCAAACTTAGCTCGTGGTCTCGTGGATACCTTTTGTGGTTCAAATACGATTCTAACACTGAATGTAGTGTTGCAATATTTAAACATTATGTTTTCACTGATACCGTTGTACGCAGTGGACTATCCCAATACCCGTTTCTCTTTTGACATCTAAAAGTTATAATTTTTACTCATTCAAAACAATTCATGTTCGACCACCGTCTTTCAGTCCTAGTTGTCCGTTGACATTTCTTAATTCCTAGACACAATCAATTTATGTCTATAAGTGTAGTTAGGTTGGATGACAATAAACTCACAAGAAATTAAGAGTAGCAAATAGAAAGAAAAAATGATTGCTTGTCTAATTTTTAAATGCAATCGGATATAATGTTACCTCTCATTAAGTTGTTACAGGAGGATAATTTTCTTGTAACATGTTACTTTTATGTAGGAATCAAAATTTATAGGTGTGTAAAATTTTGAATACATGATTAATTTTTGATAGAACACTATATGATCAATTAAATCTCCAGAAAAAAATTAGGACAATTCTCAAAACTATCACACTTAGGTTTTCGTTTTCCAAAAATATCATTTAAGTTTTGGTTTTTCAAAAATACAACAAGACTAAAACTAAACTTTCAACTTTCAAAACTAAACCATAAATCTCAAACCTCAAATCCTATCTCCTATAATAACTCTATCGTAAATCTAAAATAGTTACCTGAACGGGCAAAATTAAGAATATAAATTCTGAATAAAAACTAAAGCTTGAAAGTATAGTAGGTTGAGGAATTTCTCAAAAAAATAACATGTTATGAAATTTTTTCATTATTCTACTAAAACTTAAATAAATATAAAATTATACTATTCCTATAAAAGTTTAATAAATGATAAAATTAGAACTATGAAATGTTCATTTTGTTTTATTTCCATTTACTAAATTTGTTTTTTTTGTTTTATTATTATCTACTTAAAACATTTCTCCATATATGGTCATCTACATATAATGCACAAAAAAATATGGTCATCTACAATATTATAATCTATATAAAATACTGAAATCAATTAAACATTTTATTCATTTTCCAAATATGGTCATCTACAATAATATCATATTATAATATAAAATATTCATTTTCCAAAGGAGTAGATTTGAATTTATTAATTTTAGCCAAAGAAAATAAGTGATGGAGAAAAATCTCAATCTCTCTCTCCGTTGACGTTGGCGGCTAAGTTATTAGCTGTTTGCATAAATATATGTATGTATAGATTGTTTACATACACATCTCTTTCTCTGTGTCAATGCAGTGTTTCTTCGGTCAAATGATACCAATCTGAAACAAAGAAAATAATAATCCAATCTACTTTTATTTTTGCGTACATCTCTCTCCATCTTCCATTAAAGTCTTACCCTTTCTTCATCACTTGCTCTTGAAATTTTCTCTCCCAAAAAAGGTCAAATTCCCCACTTGATTCCACTTCCCCTTTCATGGGTTTGCGTTTGAATTGTGTTTAAAGACTTTATATTTGATCATCAGATTCAAATTCTTCATCAAGATCGTTGTTTTCTCTGAAAGTTGTTGCCTTTTTGCTATGGAGGTATTAGGGTTCTACAGTGTATGAATTGGATTCTTCAGCTGTTGTTGTTGATGGGTTCAGTTTTCTTTCTTGATTGAGTTTGAATTTGACATCAAAGTTTTGTTTTTTGCTTTGTGTGTATTCAGGGATGGTGTTGGGTCTCGCTGAGCCATTAAAGTTGTTGTCTTTGTTATGGATGAATTAGGGATTAGGATTTTGAGCTGTTGTTGTTGTTGATTCTTCTCTATCGAAAAGAAGTTGTTATGGGTTGCATAATCTCTAAGAAGAAGTCTCCAAAGAGGAATCCACCATGGAAAGAAACATTAGAGAAGCGTTCTTCAAGGATCAATTCGTCGAGGATTGATGATTCTAGCCAAACTAAAGAGGAACAAGATAGGTCGAATAAAGTTAGGTTGATTGAATCTGAAAAGTTTAGTTCAAGTAGGTTTTCTGAGAAACATCAGGAGATTGCTGAGATTGGTGATACTGATGAAGATGAAGATGATGATCATCATCCACCTGAGGAGTTGAAGAGAGAGCCTAGTGTTGTGATTCCTCCAAGTCCTGAAACCGTTTCAAAGGAGGCTGAATTGGCTGCTGGATGGCCTGCTTGGCTAGTCTCAGTGGCTGGTGAGGCACTTGTGAATTGGACTCCACGACGTGCTAGTACCTTTGAGAAATTGGAGAAAGTAAGTATGCTGTTGTGTTTATCGCCTTTTTGATCTGACTTGATTCAATGATGAACTCCTTTTGACAAATGTTTGCTTCTTGTGTGGATACAGATTGGCCAAGGTACATATAGCAGTGTATACAAGGCTCGTGATCTTACTAATAACAAGATTGTTGCACTCAAAAGAGTCCGGTTTGATCTTAGCGATTTAGAGAGTGTTAAGTTTATGGCGAGAGAGATTATTGTTATGAGAAGGCTTGATCATCCTAATGTACTTAAGTTAGAAGGGTTGATCACTGCCTCTGTTTCATCTTCTCTGTACTTGGTTTTTGAGTATATGGATCATGATCTCGTCGGACTTGCTTCCATACCTGGTATCAAGTTTTCAGAGCCTCAGGTTATCCCTTTACTTATGCTTTACGTACACTATGTCTCAGTATATCAACTTGCCTAGACATCAATCAACTTGTTCTTCTGCTGCTTAGGTTAAATGTTATATGCAACAACTTCTAAGCGGGCTTCATCATTGTCACAGTCGTGGTGTTCTGCATCGTGATATAAAGGGCTCTAATCTACTGATTGATAGTAATGGAGTCTTGAAGATTGCAGATTTTGGGTTAGCAACGTTTTTCGATCCACAGAACTGCGTTCCATTAACTAGCCGTGTTGTGACTCTTTGGTATCGACCCCCAGAGCTTCTACTTGGAGCTTGTCATTATGGTGTTGGGGTTGATTTGTGGAGCACAGGCTGTATCTTAGGTGAACTATATTCCGGGAAACCAATCCTGGCCGGGAAAACCGAGGTACCAATTTTTAAATCCATCTAGAACTCAGCTTCCCATAATCTCAAAAACTGACTTGAAGTTTAACCTTTTTCTAGGTAGAGCAACTGCATAAAATCTTCAAGCTATGTGGTTCACCGACAGAAGATTACTGGAGGAAACTAAAGCTACCACCTTCAGCTGCATTTAGACCCGCTCTTCCATATGGAAGACGTGTAGCAGAGATGTTTAAAGACTTGCCAACGAATGTTCTTTCCCTTTTGGAGGCTTTACTCTCCATAGATCCCGATCGGAGAGGCTCTGCAGCTAGAGCTCTTGAGAGTGAGGTACAGGTTTAGCTTATATTTGATATTGTGATTCATTCAAGCATTATGATTAGTAACACACAGTTGTTTTGGAGCAGTATTTCAGAACAGAGCCGTTTGCTTGTGATCCATCTTCTCTACCAAAATATCCTCCCAGCAAAGAGATTGATGCCAAAATCCGCGATGATGCGAAAAGGCAACGACCCACCCAGGAGAAGCATGAGAGACAAGACTCTCAGACAAGACGATCACACGAAAGAAAACTGATCCCGCCGGTAAAAGCTAATAATCCATCACTTTCAACAGCTGTGGAGGTAACACAAAGGCTCGATCTGCTATGGTTCGGTGTTCCCTCTGATCCATCAGAATCCTAACTTAAAAAAAAACTTGTTGGCCAATACAGAATCCTTATCTAAGAAGCTGTGTTCCGGGTAATTCACAAAGACAAATGCAGGACATGACCTGCAACAATCCAACAAGCGGAAGAGTCTCTCACTCAGGTCCGATGATGAAAAACCGGAATCTTAGTCGGTTAACATACGTGAAGGACAATGCAGCCCCTAGAATACCTTCATATAGGGCTAACTCAGCAGGACAAGGAGGCGGTTATGTTGGGTCAGATCAACAAATGATGGATCAGCAAAGGAAGGAATTGAGAACATTCAACAGAGCTGACACTATGGATAATAGTAAAAGACAAACCAAAATCCCAAATGACCCATCTTGGGTAAGTCATCTCAAGAGACTATTTTTTTCCTCATTTCTCAGTTACATTGTCTTTATCTCTCTCTCTCTCTTTGGAGATATAGTATGATTCAGGGGATAACAAGATGTACATGTCCGGTCCATTACTGGCTCAGCCAAGAAAAGTGGATCAGATGCTGGAAGAACACGACCGGCAGCTCCAAGATTTCACCAGACAGAAAGCAAAACACTGCAGAAACTAAATCACGTATCTGAATGATTTTGCTGGGAGTCTTTTATCAGAGGACAAAAACAGAGAACCATTCAAGTCTTGTTGTATCAAGAAGAGTCTTATTTGGTTCGTAGATTTTGAAAAGTTTGTTTGTAATATATAGAGATTAAAAGATTGTTGTTGGCTTATAAAAAGCTAAGCTCTGTGGTTATAGAGTGATGTGTATAACATTTATACAGACTCATCATAGAGTTTGGTTCTTTGTGTATATTACATGTATGTACACTTCTTCATATATTACAGAGATGTGTACATAACATAACATATCCATATATGTTTCATAGATTCCTATTATCAGTATGCTGTTTCTGATTACATATTTTTACAAGTTCCTAACTTTCAATCAGATTCTGATAAAAGGCTCTTGAAGATAGTAAAACAGTTTGATAAAGATTTGAAAGAAGAAACATATGGAGAATCAGATTAACAAGTCATTCTCATACACAGTAAACTGTGTCAGAAGGTGTCCTAAGATATTTACTGATTATTATCATCATATTTCTCCAAGATGTTATCTTTCACCAATTTGATTACTTGAAAAACTGAATCTGAAATTACTAAAAACAAAACTTATGAAAACTGTTTTCTTTAAAGGGATGAAGAATCAGAAAGAACGTAGCGAATTGAAGTTTTTATCGATCAATTGAATCTAAAGAATCATCACACATAATCGACAACTTTCATCACATTCTTCAGACCAATTTCAAACAAGGAAAATTCGTAAAACGGAATATTGCAAAAGAAGCGAAATTGAGAAACGAGAAGAAGAAATCGAATGAATGTGCAAAGAACGGCGGAAGATGAGCTATTTATAAGAGATTGAGAAGAAACCCTAAATTTATCTGTTTGACTAAAAAAGACACAAAATCTTTAAACTCTCTGTTTGGACACAAGTACAATTCCAGTTCGGACTGTTTTTATTGGTTACAAATTTCCTTTTTCTTCCTTTGCTTTTGTTGGGCCTTCTTGCTTAAACATTCTTTACTCAATTTTGGCCCAGTCTATTGTTCTAATTTAATACAATAAACCTTGTTAAAATGTAGTTTAACGAAAGTGTTAACAAATAGCCGTCTTAGCTCAGTGGTAGAGCGCGTGGCTTTTAACCACGTGGCCGTGGGTTCGATCCCCACAGACGGCGTAGCTCTTTGATTTTGTTATAGTTAGTCGTTTTATTATTTTTAGTCAAAAATTCAATTTTACAATTTAATCATGGCTTTGGCAAGTGAGCAAGTGGGTTTAAATTTAAATATTTTTCTTTTTTTTCGACAGCAATACAATTTTATAAAAGCGGTCGATTTTATGTTTTTTAAGTTTTATAATCCGGTTTAAATAATAGAATTAGGAGATATTAAGAAAAATAATATAATTAGGATATATTAATTAAAGTGAAGAAAAATGGCAAAAAAAAAAAAAAGAGGCCAAAATTCTCACTTTTTTCTTCGACCGATTTCTTTCTCCTATTTCGTCTATATCGGCACCGAACCAAAAACACAAACGAAGCAGAAGAAGAAGAAGAATAGAGAGAGACGTAGAGAGAGAGAGACAAAGGCTGAGCCTTTTGGGTTTCTCTTAGAGAGAAGATCTTTAGTGTGTGTCCCTACAATGTCTGTCAAGAATAATAGCTTCTCGTCGGCTGAGATTCCCGATGTGGCAGACCAACCACGCGACCGATTTAACCCCGAAGCTACACAGGATCTACAAGAGAAGGATGAGACGAAAGAAGAGAAAGAAGGAGATGAGGAAGTGAAACACGACGAAGCGGAGGAAGACCAAGAAGTAGTGAAACCCAACGACGCCGAGGAAGATGATGATGGTGACGATGCAGAGGAGGACGAGGAAGAAGAAGTAGAAGCAGAGGAAGATGAAGAAGCAGAGGAAGAGGAAGAAGAAGAAGAGGAAGAAGAAGAAGAAGAAGAAGGTAAAGGATGTGTTTTTGTTTCTTCTACTCTCGTGTAAACGTGAGAGTGTTTTGTGTTTGTTCATGTGATCGATTTGGTTCTCTCTCTTTGTTTCTGTTTCAGATTCTAAAGAAAGAAGTCCATCTTCTATATCTGGAGACCAATCAGAGTAATGATTTTTCTCATTTCTCTGTCTTTCTCTTCTCCAGATGTGTTTAGCTTGTGATGGGTTCTCTACTCCAATATTTCTTTACTTCTGTTGTTCTAGTCAATTAAATGTTAAAATTGCTCTGCTTGATTTAGTAATCTGTTGATGCATCTTCTTAGCACTTGCATGTTGTAATTCCTCTCGTATTACTGCTCAAAACCTCTACGCTCTTGTGGCTAAACAATGTAAAGTCTTTACCTTGAATAATAGCGGCCATTACTGGAAGTTGTGTCCTAAGAATGATTCATCTTCTATTTAACTTGACCTTTAGAATGTCAGCTTTATTTTTGTCTTGAGATAGATTCTTTACTGTAGAATAAAGAAGCTGGATGGATCTTTCTTGTTTAATTGTGTCTGCATTTTTTTCATGCAGGTTTATGGAAATTGATCTAGGGGAAATCCGTAAAGACGTGCAGTGTCCAATATGCCTAGGTACTCAATTTTGTCCTGAATATTTCTCGTTGGGAACAGAACTTTTGCTAAAGCTCGAAAGCCGTTACTTTCTTCAGTCGGCATGAAATTCTTGCGTCTTTTCATATCGTATTCTTGTAGATAAGTCGGCATGATTTGGTTCACACTCTATTTTTAAGCTACATTACTACATCTGGCTGAAACGAGTTTCTTGTTGTCCTGTTTTCAGGTATTATAAAGAAAACAAGGACTGTGATGGAATGTCTCCACAGGTTCTGCCGGGAATGTATTGATAAGTCAATGAGATTGGGGTACGGTTTCAAATTGTTTGGGTCTTACTCTTATTATCTATGTTGTTTTCGTTTCTTCTTGCTTCTCAGTTCTGTGCCACTTTCAAGTTAAATATTTCATCATTCTCTTGGGAGCCATAAGTGTTGGCTTTTCTAAAGCTTTTTTTTGAGTTTATATTAACTGAAGTTTCTATTGCAGGAATAACGAATGTCCTGCTTGCAGGAAGCATTGTGCAAGCCGGCGTTCTCTAAGAGACGATCCGAAATTTGATGCTCTTATTGCTGCTTTATTTACAAATATTGATAGTTATGAGGAAGAGGTAAAGCATCAACATAGTTTTCCTGCTTGTTTGTTTTGGAGAGATTGTTGCTGTTAAAACGCTTTGTTTTTTTTGGTTCAGGAACTGGCTTTTCACGAAGATGAAATGGCTCGTAATAAGCAGGTCGGATACCATGGAGAATGTTGTTATTCACTTTTTTGACTATTGCTTAAAATATACTTAATCACCTTCTTATGGCTTTTGTGTAGATTCAAGCATCTATAGCTCAGATATCGCAACGACAATCTGAGGCTCTTGTGAAAAGACGATCTCTTGGTAAAGAGGCAGCAGTCTTAATGAGATCACCGCGTATTGCTAGTGGCTCCAGAAGGAGACGGAACAGCAGAAACATGGAACAACAAAACGCATCAGAAGCTCATGAAGATGATGATAATGATGATAATAACAACAGAGGAAGAGACAAAGATTCGTCTTCAGATGAGCGTGGTACAGAAGTCCGGCAGAAGAAACGTAGAAAACGGTCTACAAGTCGTTCAACACAACACCCTTCTTCTTCAGGTGCAAACAAAAACAATGGTAACTGTGCAGATAACGACACAGAAGTGTATAGAGACACCAAAGGCATATCTCCCGGGCTTGTGTGGAATCCCGAGATACTGGCTTGGGGAAGAGGCGGGACAAGGAGTAACACAAGGCATGGGAATAATACTTCTGGAGGTAGTAGTAAGAGTGTAAGGAATGCCCGTGTGAACAAACTTGTTGAATATCTACGCAGCAGCGTAGATGGATCTAGTGTTGAGGTACCAAAGAAAAAAAACGATGATTCTCTTCTTCTTGATGACCTGTATTTTTGATTGCAGTTAGTTTGGATTTCGATTAAACTTAATCTTTCTTGCAGTTGGATATTCATGTCAAGCTTGTCTCGCTGGATACAAAATGTATACCAGACTTACCACAGCCATATCTCTGTTGCCGACCCACTTTGCTTGTAAAACAGCTCCGTGAAGTGAGCACTCTCTCTCCCTTACAGTTATCATCAGACTTGTCACAGTAGAAAGTGGTTTTTTGTTATATATATTGATGCGAAAGTACTTCAATATGATTCAATAACAAAAATGATTTCAGTATCACATACGCTAATATATTTGTCAACTTTCAATGTTGTACAGTTCGTTGCACTTCAGATACATTTGAAGACTGAAGAGGTTGAATTGTTAGTAACAAGAAGAAGAGTAGGAGAAGATGCGGCAATAGAGAATCTTCCTGCAGTGACTCCAGCTTCAGCAGCAGCATCTAAAGATGAGATGCTGAGTTTGGAAGACAATGAAACATTGTCAAGGCTCAAAATCGATTTCATTTCAAGCCATGAACAACATTTGGTAGCGTCAATAATAATAATTTTTATCTAAATATCTTACAGTCTAATCTAAGTATGATTCAACTTTGTGAGACTTTTTCCTTATTTGGTTTGTGCCTTCAGATCATAGCTTACCGGAAGAAGCAAACTGAGTGAAGAAACTTGGAGCCTAATGGACGTGCTGCGGAAGTGCAAACAGTGTATAATATATAAACAGATGGATCAGGGCTTGTTTTGTTTATCCGTTTGCTAGATTATATATCTCAGTTGGTTTTTTTATTTAGGAAGTTTTTTGTTTGTGACAAACTTTTTTCCTTTGTGTATTCATTGTAGACGTTGCTTAGTATTTCCGGAGCAAGTTTTTATATGGAAACCTTTTTTTTACTATATATATATCAGTCAAGTCTCAGAACACAGGAAGATTATGCTACTGCCTCATTTTATAATGGAGACGTTGAGCGGTTGGTGCGGTTCAAACGTTCTTGAACAGCAATATCTGCTGCTGCTTAGTCTTTTTTACTTTTTAACAGCTACCTCATGTGAGGAGAAACCATCATCATTGTTCTCCTGTCGATTCTTCTAATCACTCTAAGCTTTGGTGAATTTGGTTTTGTCGTCTCCTTGTTCGACCTGTGTTTAATTGACATGGAGTTTTCTTTGTTTAACAAGTGTAGGTAAAAATCAAGAACAGAAAAGAAGAAATCAACTCCTGGTTTGGATCAGAACTTACTTGTGAGGTAAGAATGGGTTGTTAAGGTTTGACACTGGTCTGGTTTGAGGAACGATTGTCCTTCTCAGTTGTTTTAGAGCTCTCTCTTCCTCTACCTGACAAAGTTTTAGGTAAAATACATTTACTATCATACTCTTTTATTAGATACATCTATACTTGGCAGAAAATTTATAGTATTATACCATTTTTGCGGCTTCCGCCTCTTCGAGATGTCTCTTGTACATCATCTCTTTCTCTTTGATCTGGAACCAAAGATGATAGAACAAGTTAGTTGAGAAATCAAAAGGTTTCTTTTAATCTGCTGATCGAGTTAGATAAGCTTACTTTATGG